ATGTCCAGTCAGTCATCCCTCATGTTCTTCCAACACTGTCTCAGGCATTTATTAACCCTTCTTAAAACCCATCTATGAACGACAGGGACCATCAGGAATGATGGCTTGACTAAAACTTTGACAGATGACCCCAAAGATACCATGGCTGATGGTATCAAAAGGCACTAAGAGAGAGAGATGATGGATGAACACCATCATCTGCCCTTGCCATAGATCATCCACAAGTGCAACCAGTGCTGTTTCTGTCCCATAACTGGACTTGAAACCTGACTAGAAGGAATCCAGATTAGGCAATGATCTCAAGTGATCCTATGATCCCAGATTCAGAAACAAGATCTCACAATCAGAAACTTGGGAAGCAAGATCCTTAAAGGCTGTTGAGGATGCTTTCCCTTGTAAGGATCTGCTCTGCCCTCTGGCTCTCGTAGCATCCCATGCCCATCATCCCTATAATGTGATATCCTGCCCCATGTCCCCCAAAGAGATTGTCCTCCTCTGGTGTCTCTCTTCATGGAGCCAAAGGCTCTGGCATCCTCCTTCAGCCATTCTTATTCTCCCAGGCATCCTGGAGAAGACAGATGAGGGAGGAAGCCCAACAGAGTGCTATAGCTCAAGCTCTCAGCACCAAGATTTCCCTCCTCCTGTTAACCGCCAACATTCACATTGTCTTCTGCCTTGGACTGGTTCTTCTCACTGGCCCACCAGGTGCAGAACAAATTTGGGGGATGAAGGGCCTACAGACATCCACTCTAGCCATACTAGCCAATTCTAGGCTCTCCTCCTAGAAGCAAGCTCTCAGGGGCTTTGAGACCCTAATTCTTAATCCTTCTTTAAAAAATTATTTAAGATGACTCGAGAAGGATATGTTATTTTCCTGCAGCTGTTCCTTGGAAGAGAATGAAAAGAGTGGGAGAAAAAGAATAAGGAAGGGGTCCAATTCTGGACTCATGTTTTACTATAACTGTGCCTCTGATAGGAAATGATAGAATAAATCAATCCATGACTAACTTTCTCCAGTAGCTAGACATAGTTTTGAGCATGCATAGCATCTATTCCTTTTTAAAAATATACACATTGGAAAATTAAAGAACTAAATCTATAGATGTACGGATAGACTAAAACTATAGATTCTGGGTATGCTTTACAAAGGCATAACCACATACAACTACATTTTAAAGAAAGAATTAGTAGCCCCAAACCATGCTGGGAAAAGCATCCTCCACTGGAAATGCTCAGAAGCTCCATTAAGGAAAATTAAGTTGTTTCAGAAGAAAAATGACTCTGATCAACATGTGTTGGAAGTAAATATAGGAATAGTAACAGCTGCAAAACTTCAAAATCCCTGATCCCTCAGAAGATTATTCATTTATTTTGCCCCATCATCTTGTCCCTTTTAGCAAATTCACACCATGAGCCTCCAAGTTCAACAGCTGTTCTCCAACAAAAAGTCAACAATGGATCCGCTACTGCTTCAAAACTGGCCACTGTTGTCAAATAATGTAACTTAAAATCACATATTAGAATTACAATTTTGATACTCTTTGGCTACACAGCAGTCTGTCCTTTCATTTTGACTCTAATCAATGGCACTAGTGAAATGATAATGTTAAATAACCACATCCAAAATGGATGCTATCCAGACTGATTGATTTACAAGAGGAGTATGGCTTTTCATCATGCCAAATGATAGCGCACACAATAAATATATATGCCACCATTTGGCACATATATCCATATCCATATACACTTGTATATCCATATCCATCCACATGCATATACATATATGTGTATGTGTATGTATAATTTTAATTTCAATATGTTTCAATATGTTACTAAGTTGATTCATGGACTTGTAATAGTTCATACAACAGAACATAATTTAATTTAGTGTCTAATTTAACTTGGTATCTAAATTCAGGCTACAGTCAGAATGCCTTAACCACAATTTGTATCCAAAGCTTGATTCTGAGGAGCTTATTTTTATATGACACCCAAACTTGGGATAAGGGCAAGGTTTTGGTGAAACGACCATAAGGTCTCCAGGGAAAGAGGTGTGGCTGCAAATTAACAGCCTTTCAGAAGGGTTAGCTTTATTGTGTCTGTACAGTGGCTGCAGACTCTCTAGACTATCTGGCAACGGTCTTGTCCTTTAATATAATGAACAAAGCAGGAAGCATCAGCTGGCCAAAAACTGCAAAAGTGGCTAAGATCCATGCAGCACAGCTGGATACAGAAACCACAATCCAGGAGTTCTTTATTAAGTCTTCCAGTACGACTTACTATCTTGTGTGTATCCATGGGTCAAGTTATTTCAACTCCTAGTTTAGTTATGAAATATAAAAAGACTCTAACTGCAGAGGCAGCTGGAAATTTTGGTTTTAAAATAAAAACCGGGGGGGGGGGGGAGTTGAGTTACATGAAAAGCAAATTATACATGAAATTGTGGATATTTTCCTATTTTCTTTGGCCTGATGAAAAAATATCAGGAGAAAAGCTAAATTCTCTCTAAATTTAAAGGTTCCCCCTGTCCAGTTGTGACCAGTTCAAGGAGGTAGTGCTCATCTCAGATTCTCAGTGGAGGGAGCCTGCGTTGTTTGAGATATTTCCATCATCATGCGGCCAGCATTGAAAATATGGAACATAGTAATCTCTCCCACCAAAGCAATACCCACCTATCTACTTGCATTTCTATGCCTTCAAACTGCTAGGTTGGCAGGAGCTGGTGCAAGTAACAGGAACTCATCCCATGGCATGATACTTGAGTGTGTCAAACCTGGACCGTTGGCTTTCCAGCTGAACCAGCTCAAGTGTCTTAACCGTTGGGCCATTGCACCACCTCCCTTTGTTTTACAAAAATAAAAACCTACAGGATCACAGCAGTGCTTTCTTTCTGATAAATTATGCACTCAAGTTGAAGTAACTGTTTGTTTCTGAACAAATACTGAATAGTTACTGAATAGTTCTCTCTGTAGTTCATGAAGAATTTAACAGTGACCAAAAGAAAGATGGTGGAAGGGGCTTCCCCAATTTAATAAAGGTTCAGGGATGAATAACCACATGCTATAATTGTAATTTAGGAATTTCCTTGAAAAAACATATTGAATTTAAATGGTATTTATGGAAGACATAGCTTAACAGGGGAAAATCCCAGAGAATGATAGTTCACAATTTCTTCACTAAGTCAAATAAAACCAATGTCTATTATCAAACAGAGTCTAATAATACTTGTCTTTTCACTTCTATCTTCAACGAGCTTGCTCAAAGTTCTTTCGTGCGAGTGCTTCTTCCTTATAATGATCCTTTAGCAAGCTACTGACTTCCACATTAACTTCTAATTTATCAATAAAGGATTGGCAGGTAACAAGTAATGTGTTAAAAGTGCTTTTCCTCACTTGAAAGGTGCTCCAATATTAAAGTTATCATCACTAGCAGCAAAAAGGCAAGCTATTTCTGCTCAGGCTTTGACCATCTCTTAGGATGGGTGCACCACAATGCAAGAAAGAAACTTGACATTAAAGGTCTCAATAACCTTGCACAAAATTATTGGCACTCCAGGCCCTGTTCATATTTCACATTATGGTCTCCACTCAACCTCCCAAGACTTCCTGTTGGGGATAATATATTATCTAAAGAAGTGAACAATATTTCACATGGGGTTTAGAAGGTTAGAGTCCCCTTGTGTTCAGATTGGAAGTTTCCTCTTTGAAGTCAGAGGTGGCGAGTGCTTTCTTTTAAACATTCATATTGATCACAATTAGTGCTTTCAAAATGCAATGACTTGTTATAATGAGGCACTTCCCACTGGCAGGGTAACCTATAAAATGTATTTCTTTAATGGAAACATGAACATTTGCACATTTTTGTCATTAATAGTACATTGTTATTCCTGATTAATGTTGTGGAGACAACGCATTGATGTCTTATTTTACTTTAAAGCATGAATGAAGTGTTCTAGCTTATCCATGCATTACTGACTGGTTGGTTTTCCTAAAACTCCTATTTCGCAAGCAGTAATACAGTCAACATGAGTTACACTCCCTTAATATTATTAGCAATCCATACTTTGATAACAAGAGGTTTATTCTGTTTAAAGGGTTCTTATTTCAGTTCGTGCAATTGTGTTCTCTTCCAGCAGAGGCAAACTTTCATGAAAGAAATAAGGCTTTCATGAATAGGTATCTTCTCATCATGCCATCAAACTGAGAAGGTCATCTCTAAATATCTAGTTACGATCCAATTAAGAAATGTAGTTCTTAAAGTTGGCTTTAATCTGTCATGCTAACCCATAATTATCTTTAGTTTCAAATTTTCAAACTGTAGGAATATATGCCTTGTAAATTAGCGTTAACTCATGAAACTGTCTGGATTAGAACATTTAATAATTTCATGCCTTTGATAGAACAGGTACCCTCCCCAAACAAACATGCCAGTAAATATTTGATTTATCCAGGTTTGTATTATTAAAAAATCTTTAATATTGCATGATAAAGTTTCGCCTTAAGAAAGGAACTCTTCCACTCATTGCTGGCTTTTTTGAAAGAACATGACCTTCAATTAATAGTATCAGGTAACTATTGTTTTAAAAGATGGGTGGGGGAGGAAACAAAGAATTTCTGGCCTGAATGGTGCTCCAAAGTTAAAAGAAAGGGAGACAACCAAAGTTTTTCTGCAGCCCTAGCTCAGTAGAATCACATCCACTCGATTCTGGGCTTTTTTTCTTTCTGGCAGCCAGCAAGTTCTTGCTGCCAGGTGAGAGACTTATATAGATCTATTTCTGGCTCGTTAGCTATCATATATACATACATACATCTGGCACTGATGAACGTCTGCCGAGTATCCTTGAAAAGGCATTTTTGAATGTTTCTTCCAGAGTGGGATGCTTTTCCTTTAAAATTACATTGTGTTTTGAAATATTTGTGAAGTAATACCCATAAATACAATTAATTAACAGATAAGAACTATATGTTAAAAAAAGTGTGGGGGGGCGTGTCCATACATACCTATATGAGTTTGTGACATAACATCAGCTAGCCTATGCGCAGCCCCACTGCCACCACTTTGGGTTGAGGATGAAGAAGTGGTAGATGTGGTTGAGCCATGGATGGCTTGGCTGATCCAGTGCTCCATATTTATACTCCCTTGGCTTGAGGTTGGTGTTCCCTGGGAATCGCCCTGCACGGAACCTTCATCTTCAGAGCCAGAAGAGGTATCTAGCATGGCAGACAAATGCATGACAGATAATCCAGGGCTAAATTTTTATGTTGCTGTATTCAGACACTGACCCAAAGCCAAAGTGTTCAGTTCAAATTGCAATGGTGTCCAAGAAATTTGCAAAACAATTCAGGCACCAATTCCTGTTGAGCTAGGGGTTTAAGTAGTTGTTATAACTTCAAATATACTGATGTATCCATGCAAGAAAACCGAGTCATTACAATAATTTTCTCCAACCTGGAGTTCTCTAGATATCTTGATTTAGAAGTTATATCAAAACAGGCAATGTTGTATGTACTATTCACAATTTAGTCAGAATCATTGCTTTATTCTAAAAGCATTTCCATTCCCAAAGTAGCAATTCTCTAACATTAGTAACAGCATGCAATAAACACCAGATGCTATAAAAGCTACAGCACAAGAATATCTGGTTTGGCCACAGTGGGAACTGAAAATCTTGAACTAAATGGACTTTGTTTAATATGGCAGAATTAAGTGAATAACACAGAGCAACAGAAACAACACTCTCAAAAATCTCTTCATATTCCTTGTGGTTATTTCAGAGAACATCTCAAAATACTTGCAAAGTGAAAGGAATATGGGCCTAAAATAGGCAGACAATATGTGTCAACTTCAGTAAAGAAATTGAGAAAATCCATATCTTGCATTCATTTTTGTAGCCCTCAGAACTCATCAGATCACCATGCAACAATGAATAGAGGTGATGTCAGTTTTTGTTTTAATGAAATGAAAAGAATAATAAACTTCCAATAACTTGTAAAGCTATTTTACTTTTTAAAGAATCCTAGCCTACCTAAGTATCTTGGAAATTGGTTAAAAACACAAAGACTCTCTGCTGCAAAATGGTTTCCTGTCTCTGGCCGTTTGAAGTATGCAAATCCATCCATCCTGCCATAATGCTATTGGCAAACAAAGTCTGTGGTTTGCTCAACAAATCATGATTTTAAAATCTCACATTAGTATTCTCTATGCAATTACATCTATCTATCAAGAAATCTGGTTCAAAATTATGAACTGCAATAGAGAAGATACTCCCAAGCTACTGAATTGTAACCTAAGTAGTCTCTTTCTTTCTTTCAAACTCTTATTCAATTTTTCCTTGGAAAGTTAGAGAAAAATCAGTGTTCTTTCTGTAGTGTGTAAGAAGAGAGATCCATGTCTAATTGTGCAGGAAGCCAGGATGCTCTTTCTTTCCTAAGATTTTCATGTAATAGTCTATCCTACTATAATCAGTCGAGACTTGCTGCTCAAGAAAAGCCTTTAATAATATAATATTAGATGCTTCGAATGTGAAAAAAGAGATGGATCAGACAGTTTTATTGTAATCAATACGTGGCAGGATTCTTACTTTACATATTCATCCATACCTATTTACTGTTATGAGTGCTCAAATCTGAAATCCAATCATAACACTTTTAGTACAGGTCCTTACCTGGAGGGGTATAGGCATCCATTGATGTTTGCACCACCAGTGAACGTCTCTTGGATGGCATTGGTACTGCCATCTTCCGTTCTTTATGTTTTGCAAGAGCTGCCTGGACTGCTTCTGTGTGGACATCTAAAATCAAAAACCTAAATATCAGCTTGGAACTCCAACAAGAGGTCATAAACACAGGTAGTTTCTAGGAGAAAATTAATGTTGTAAATTCCTTAGAACCCAAAATACAATGCCTTGGAAATACATTCCATTAGTAACAATAGGAAAAAATAGTTATTTTAGGGCAACCATTTCCGCAGGATCTGCATTTGGATTATTCCAGCTAATTAAAATCTTTTTTTGTCTTAATACAGTTTGCTGTTTGGGATATTCTCTAGGTTGCTTTTAATTCTTAATACTTTAAGACAGTCAATATTAGTATATGACTAAACAAATGATGAGGAAAGTCAACACAACATGGCAGAACACAGAAATAATTTCAATATTGCAGGTTCCTCTAAAGAACATTATTATGTAGCTTTTTCTTTTGATGTTTCCCAGATGTATAATTCAGATGGGTCATAAAACAATTCCCATGGTCCCCACCCGACTATGCAGCATTGTTTGAACAAGACTATTGTTTTCAAAAACTTTGAGACTGTATATAGTTTAGACTTTTTTTTTAATGAAAGTTCTATCAAGATTTATTATACCATAAAATACAATGAAGATTTTTAAAAAGGAGAGTAAAAAAGGTGTTGACTTCTGACTCTTTCCAAAACAGTAAAATTCTAATACATTTATAACTTCAACTTTCTGCATTACCTATAATTATTACAAGCCACACAATGCACTAACTACAATTATTAAGCTTCAAACTAAATTCTAAGTGTTTTTTTCTATTTCAAGTTTAAAAAACAGAAGCAATATCCCAATAGATACAAGACCAAATATAATATTTTTGTTAATACAGTTTACATTGCAATCTTATCTAAATTTATTCCCCCCGCTCCCGCTTCTCAAGTGAGAAATGTTAATATATTTCTATGTACACTTATTAATCTTTTTAAACTATCATCATCCACATTAACAAAAATCATATTCTTTCAAATACTTTAACCTTAAAGTTAAAACTCTTGTTATATTCATTCTAAACATTTCTTTAAAAATTTCATCTTTATAACCAATACCAATTAATTATAATACATCATTTTTAACTTCCTTTTCACATACATACATACATACATACATACACACACACACTTACACTTTCAATAATATTTTGCAAACTGTAAGAATTATTTAAGCATTATACATATAAAAATAAAGAAAAATGGAAGGTCAAAATCTTTTCTTTCCCTTGTCTTCTTGAACATAAATACTTTCCAAATTTAATTTCAAAATATTTTACAAGCTTTAAACAATAACTTATTCATCCCATTTTCAAATCCACTTTATAAAACAATGCATTGGAACTTTCTTTTAATTACATATGTCAAACCAACAGAAAATCCATCCTAACTCCAAAAAATTTACAAAATTTAAGTCACTCCCTCACCTTGCCCTCATAAAACAAAACCATTTTCTACATAAATTCAGATTAAACTTGTTAATTTTTGAACAAAGCAGAATTTTTTAACTGCCTGCATTAGATTGGTTTGCTATTCTTTATTGATAATTCTTTTCTTCCATTATTAGATTGAAATTAAAGATGAGGTTTTTCCCAAACTGAATGTATGTCATGTATTGAAGGCATGAAGTTTGCCAGTACTGTCATGGTTCTTTGTATTATATATCTTAGATTTACTTCCCACTCAATACAAATCGAAAAGACTAAGTATACAAAGCATGATGTTCCATCTTTAAGGCTTTTTGGCAAAAGCACCAAGACAAACAATAGAAGAATATCAGAAAAGACCCACCTGTGCTATAGAATTTTGCATGGAATGTATTCATGTGTGAAATTAATGGATATTCTGAGAAAGATGTTTGTCTGTGTGTGAAGGAAAAGAAGAGGAAAGAAGAGGAAAAAAGAAAAGAAGGAAGGAAAACAATAACCTGCCTTTTAATTGATTTTATACTGTACACACAAAATTGTTCTATATTTTAGAAGCATAAACATTTACCTGTCCTAATGGATGCTGCCATCAGCCTCCTTGGGTGCCTTATGAATGTGAACGATAAAACTGAACTCTGTCTGGAGAACCCTGAAGGGCTGTCTGTGTCAGGCTGGCAATGGACTCCAGGCTCCAGCTGTAGTAGAGGAGTAGGAGTCTTGCACTGCAAGCTTGAGAGCAATCCAAGGAGAAGAGCATGTGAAGGAGTAGATGGATAATTATTGGGCAGCAACCTTCCCAGTGGGGGTGGGGGGAAAGAGGGAGGGCTCAAGCAGTGAACTTGCGTATGCAAGAAGACAAAGCTTGACCACCTCCCCAATGCCTTGAGCCTTATCTAGTCTGGGAAGAAAGAGGAATAACTGATATGGAATAGCAGTGAAGGACACAACTGAGGTGAAACAAAACAGATTGCAAAGAAGCGTTAGATTAAATTGAATATTCAAGGGAAAAAAAGAACAATAGAGGAATCATGAGAGGGAAAGTAGAAGAATCATTACAGTGGTTGAAGGGATGGAATAGGACAGGGACTAAAAAGAAGAAGGAAGCCAGGTTAGTTAAGGAGAAATGGGTCAAAGTGCCAAAAATGAAGAATGAGAAGGCTGGCTGGCCATCTCCCTTTCTGCATAAGAGGCAAAAAGAGATGCTGTTCTCTTGGAAGAAAACAGGAACAGGAGCTCTTAAGAGCCAAAAAGAGAATAAATCTAGGAGTGGAACACTTGGAGAAGGGAGTAAAAGTTAGAAGCTAGCTTCCTTCTTCTAGAAGCTACTCTTCTAAAAGTGGATTTGGGGGGTTAGAGATGAGACAAGTGGATGTAAAAAATCTACACAGACATAGGGTTAGAGTTGGACACAGTAAAGGGTTCACCTTTGGGCCTATTCCAAAGCATCAAGAGTGGTGGAGCCAATAAGCACCACTCTGTACTTATTGCATCTGGAGAATGCAGGCCAGCATGTTTAGAGTGACCAAATCCTCTTGATGTTTCAGAATATTTGTGAGTAATTAACTAAGCATTTTCAGGACAAAAGTGCTCATATTATCTCCAGATTGGATGTCAGACAGATAGAATTTCAAGAGATGACAAGGTAATATCCTCCTGTGATCACCATCTGGATTCCTTCAAGCTTATAATGCCTAAGGAAAGTGATAGGATTGTCGGTGGGATGAACTCCATCACTTGCAACTTTGCCTCCCTTAACTAATCAAAGCAGCTAAAAAAATCATAACTGAAGATAGTCAGTACACTCTTAGGGCAACCTAGGAGTATTACCCTTAGATTTGAACAGGTGGTTAAAGCCATTTCTGGATCCAGCCATCTATTATAAGACAATCCTCATCATCATTTCTTGCTAAGGCAATAGAAAATGTTTGTTTGTTTGTTTGTTGTTTAGACAGCCCATTTCTCTCAAAGAGACCTTTGCAGTGTAGAACAAGACACTGAAATATAAAACAGTATATACAAAATAAAAATGTTAAGAGTTAAAACTTAGAGTTGAAAATTTTTAAAAGATTATAATATTTATTAACGAGGAAAGTGTAATTAACCCTGTTGAAAATTGGTTGACAACGGGAAAGGGAGCGCTTTCATGGCACACACCAACCTCATGATTGTGTGTTTCTTGGGCATCCCCACGCCAGGTGGCAAAGCCATGTATTAAAAATCAAAAGAGTGTGTGTGTGTGTGGGGGGGAGCCGCTTCACCTCCAGAGGAAGAATATTCCATAGGGTGGGGGCAATGGTAGGAAAGGCTCTCCTCCTAGACCCAGTCAAAATTCTTTAATTGACAGAATCCACAACACACCTTCCCTGCCTGATCTGGTGGGATGGGCCAATGTGATGGGATGAATCTAGTTCCATAGGTAGCTTGGCCCTATGCCATGCAGGTCTTTATAGGTCGTAACCAAAGTCTTGAATAATTGGACCCAGAGGCACTGGAGCCCAATGCAGTTCCTGAAGAAGAGGTGTTACATATACCTTTTTTGGGGCAGTAAAAGTATAACTTTCACAGTTGCATTTTGCACTAGCTGAAGCTTCTGGATATTTTTCAAGGGTAGTCTGGATTAATATTGGCCAGCAATGGCTTCTTGATTAGGAAGCATACCCGTGCTTCTTTAAAAAGACTCGGGAACACTTTCCGAAGAAGGATGAATTTACCATTACCTTCTGAGAGGTTTTAACCAGCCAGGATGGGTTTGGATCTAATGCCCAGATGGTGGCATTTGCATTCCACACAGCCTAGCCATTTCCTCAGGGCCAACAGAAACAGTTTCCAGATAACTGGGTAAATCTGCTCCCTGGGCGTCTCCATAGGACTTGGGTCACATATGGCATCCAATGGGAACAAATCTGAGTGATTTTATCCTCCTGGAAAATTTCTCTGAACAGCCAAGTAGGTGAATTTCCAGGTCACCCTTTCCAAAGAGAGTCCAGGTGACTCTAAACAGGGTCATTGAGTGGCATTCTGTGGATACCATAAGAGCAGTGGAGTATTGACACTTCACCATTCTTACTGCCATGAGGTAAACCTTAATAGCAGCTCTAACTCATGTTCAGTCAAGCCCATTCTTCATTTTCATCTAACAGTATTGGCCAAAGAAAGGTCTGGATTAAAAAGGTTATTCTGGATTTTTTTTCAGTTGTGTTGTACAAAGCGTTTTACGTGTGAATATTGGATGGAATCTAAACTGGCCTGTAATTGTTTTGGATGGAACTGTGCATCCTTCCTTGTGAAGCTAAATCTTTCAGGAACATTCCCCAATATCGTGGGGATCCTGTTTGATCCTGTGAATTAGTGTGGGGTGCCCACATTTATTTAATATCTATGTAAAATTTCATAATTTAAGTAACAAATAATGATGATTCAGAATTAGAATTAGAATAGAGCAAACAAAATGAATGTATGAATAGTCCTTTCACCTATTGAATATTCCGAAACTTCATTTGAAGTTTTTTTTCATTAGAACAGGCAGGCAAGTGAAAAGAATATAGAGAAATTACATTTCAGAATTAATGTTAATACAGATGCA